AGGGGCAATGTAAACTGAGAAAAGGAGGGGGCCCAGAACGGATCCTTGAGGAACTCCTTGAGTGGTACATGATAAATTTCTGTCTATCTGTGAAATGTGATTTGAAACAATCGAGGCCTGTTCCTGAGCTGCCGATAGAAGAGATGGGAGAAACATACATCATTATTCACTGTGTTGGAAGCACAGTTGTGGTCTATAGGGAGAAGAATGTTAATGGCGCAAACAGAAGGTCATTTATAACTCTTAACTGAGCAGACTCAGGTCTACTCTGTGTCCGGAAACCTGATTGAAATGGCTCATAAAGACTGAATATATTTTTAATTACTTACTGTGGATTCTGTTCCCAGCTGTTCAACAACGAGACATAAGCAGGAGCTTTGGCTGTCTGTACGAGTGTAGCGTAATCACAGCTATCGTGAGCGGTAACGGCGCCATGGTCCAGGACTGGTCTCTCTGGTCCTTGAGCTCAGATTATCAGGGCATCATTGTGTATCATGGCATAACTGGTCTAAGAGGATTCCACTCTGGTCGTGACATGGGCGATGATACGCTGGAATCATCTGAGGCACGTCAGAAAATAATCTGTACGGACAGCAGGCCTCGCTTTTTTTACCCCTCTATACCATTCAGCACATTGCTGACCTCTTGCTCAGTCAATACCAGCAGGACGCAGTGCAATTTACTATTTGCAGAGAAACTCATTCATGCGTTTGTTCCAGAGTTGATCACTGTAATGCTCTTTATACTGGACTTCCATAGAAAACAATCCATCCTCTACAACTCGTACAGAACGCAGCAGCACGGATCCTCACAGCACCAACACAGAGACCTTTTTATTGATGTCCTGGTTAAACAACTAGTACAGACTCCTAATGTAGCAGTGCAGCACTTAAAAAAGATGGTTCTTCAAGGGTTCTTTAGTAATGAAAATGGTTCTATATAGAGCCATGACGTCTCAAAGAACCCTATGCATGATTAAATTTTTTTTGCCTCGTTAAATGGTTCTTCAGATTGATGGAGAATGTGTTGTAGATGTTTCTATATAGAAAAAGATTCTCCATCAATCTGAAGAACCATTTCACAGAATGCTTTAAGCATGCAAAGCGTTCTTTGGGTGCTCATGGTTCTATATAGAAACATTTTCTTTACTAAAGAACCCTTGAAGAACCATCTTTTTAAAGTGTGTATTCACCCTGAAGTTCTGCTGAGCCGCCCTGTACGTGGATAACCCAGAATTCTGTTATGCTCATTTACTTGATACTACCTGTCTGAACTGTATAAACCTGATAAAGCTGAATAAGTAAAAGAGGAAAAGATTAAATTCACGGGTTTGAGAGGTGAATGAAGTGAAGCCTGACAGACGAACCTTGACTGACACAGTGAAGCACAGGAGATGGTTTTAAAGACAAAATAAACAGACAGTTTCTCGCTTTCTCCCTCAAGCTGTTTACATGTTGATCCATTACTGTCAGAAATAACGCTGACTCTCTCACTAACGTCCTGACCGAGTCTGAATGGGAGAACAGACACCATCACAAACTGGCCAGACCAGAGAGATAAAGACACAAACTACTTTCATAGTGAGTCAGAAAGAACCATTAATCAGGCGCTCTGTACTGATTCTGTCAGCAGAACAGTGTGTGGAACGCTGTCTAGCTGAAGGTTCCGCCCGGCCCAGCTGGTGAGCTCCCTCAGCCGTAGAGCCGCGTCAGTCTGAGAGCGCTTATAACCATACAAACACTCGAACACACACACACACACACACACACACACACACACACACACACACACACACACAACGCTCACAGCATCTCCGTCAGCTGAAAGCCGACAGTGTGGGTCGAGTCTTGGCTCATCTAGACCCCTCAGACACTCAGAGAAGCCTGACACGCAAATCTCACCGACTGTTTTGCTATTCATCATTTTCACCTCTGCATATCTGTACAATCAATCAATCTCACGCCTGGTCAGAACGTGAGGAGTTTCAGAAAGTTTTAAATAATATAGAGAATGCACATGTCTTCTAAGCCCCGCCCACTGTTCAAAAATATTTCAGAAGCAAAAGAGCGAAGAGCAAAAAATATTATCAGCAAAATCAGCAAACAGAAAAATATTAAAGCAAAAACTGGCAAAATGAGAAATAAACGCATATCAGAATGACTGAAAATGAGGAGAAATCCTCATTCGTTGGATTTAACTCTCATTATTTGCTTTTGCAACATATTTTGGACATTTTGAGGCTCAATATTTTGCTTGTGAATTTTATCCGTTTATTTGAAACTTTTGAGTGTTACTCAATGCTATTGTTATAAGCCTGTATCGTAAAGATAGCAGAACTAATTTTGGTGCTATACGGAACCATATACAACACATTCTCTATCAATCTGAAGAACAACTTCACCATGCGAAGAACCATCATCAGGCAAAGGGTTCTTTGAGTGCTCATGTTTCTACACTCTTAAAAAGGACAGTTCTTGAAGGGTTCTTCAGTAAAGAAAATGGCTCTATAAACAACCATGAACACCCAAAGAACCCTTTGTACGCTTAAATGGTTCTTCAGACTGATGGAGAATCTTTTGGCACAAATTTAACTCCATAGGAGGTGCGTAAAACTTGAACAACCTGAAAAATGCAGCTTTATAATCAAAATCATTATCCATATCATTGATAAAATCAGAAATAGTGAGTATAGAACGTATCAGTGACATTAATCATGCAGAACAGAACAGAACCCTCGTACTAAACTGCTACTGAATTTAGTAGAACAGAGTCAACAGGTAGAATGTAATATGTGATTTGCAGAACCGGGTCTTTATCAGCTCATTATTTCTTTCGTTAATCACTAAGTATAAACACACAGACGCTTAAGGATCAGTGGCCAGTTGCATAAAACATCTTAAGTATTTATCTTAAGTCCAGACTGACATGCTGAGGGTCTAAAACTCAATTTACTATTTTGTTTTTTTACACTTTTGTGCAGCTCATTTTAGGTAAAATCCAAAACTGGCTTCAGATGTTTTATGAAAGTGACCACAGGAAGGCAAATGTGGCAGATTTAACAGCTCTGGATGACCTCAATGCTGCGCTCACTGCTAGGATTCTGTGATTGGGTGGATTTTTTCCTGGAAGGCAACCGATGATTCATGAGCTTGCTAAACGCTTTAGTTTTAGCAGGTCACACTTAAATGAATCAGCACATGTTTCATGTACAATACATGTATATAAGAGTAACCTGGGGCATTTCATTTACAAGCAATATGGGAAATGTAGTCACGAGCGGCAATCTGTGGGGTCCAAGCACTATTTCACAGGTAGGCCCCAACATTATAATTACTGTTATAGTCAACATAAAGCAGTGAGTAAATTTTGTAATCATGACAACAGATGATGGTAGCTTATACAACTGATTAAAAGATGTTCAAGATTCTTTGTCATTGCACAGGGTACAACAAAATTGGGTAGCAATCCTAACAGTGTGTAAACAAAAAAAGATTAAACTAGGAATAAAGCAAAAATATAGAATAATGTAAAGCATAAAATGCAAGACATTAAAAGAAAGACTATATAATTTAAAATTATTAAAAAGAGTAAAAATAGAAAATTAAACTATAAAATAATTTCAACTGATAATATAAAAATATAAAATATAAAATAAGTCAAATAAAAGGGGTGGATATAAAAGAATCTCTGTGAATATAAAAGAATATCTGTTTGCAAGGTTGTTCAGACAATTTGAAACCCTTTATGTAGCTTTAATTTAAACAGAGCAAGAAATATTTTAATTCTGCTTAATTTAAACATGTTTCCGAAATGCAGCGCCCCCCGGAGGCAGATTTGGACTATGCGTACCATGCCAAGTCAGGCAAAGTATGTTCAAGTTGTAGCCAACTTGGACTGTGACATTCCACCAACACTGCGTGAAAAAGTCAACATTTTCATAATAGTTTGCTTACAGACTCGACACATTTGGAGATGATCAGATGCAAATCACAGGACTAGTTTAAAAGTGTGTTTTTCAAACTAATGTGCAACTGTGTGTTCTTCCAAGAAATAGCTCTGCCCCTGTATTTGATTGGCGGATTGGAAGATTTTTTTTAAAAGTTCAATTTCTTATGATTTGAAAATGTAATTTGTACAGATCAAGCAAAAAGCCAGAGAACAGTTTGCACTCAAAAGTGAGTGGGCAGGGCTGAGGCTCGAGGTTTTTGTGGGATAAAGATTTAAGGAGGAAAAAAGAATTTCGTCTCTTCGATATACAATGCAGGAGAAATGGACTCGAAAGTTTGATGCTTTGCTACAGCGCCCCCTTGCAGCCAAACGGACTCTTCTTGTGGGTCTGAGTAGCTGGAGAGCCTAGTGCTGAAAGACGAATCATTTTTATATCAAAACCGCAATTTGAAAGAGTGCAATTTTCAAATCAGAAGAGCATAATCCAAAACATCTAAAGACGTTTTAAGTGTGGAAAATCAACCTAATAACACAGAGCTTGTACGCTGCCTGTAGATGAGTCCAATCAAATCAAATCAAATGCCTGTCTGCTGTGACATCACAAACACAACTAACTGGCAGGTTGCCGCACTACGTTCAGGTTCAATCCTCCAACCAGAAAAAGATTAGCTGTTTTTTATGGCCTGAGCCTCAATTTCTATGTAATAATCACAATTAAAATCAGTCATAATAGCAGCAAGAAAAATCACAAATAGATATTTTCCCAAAATTGTTCAGCCCTAGAAGGGACACCAACCTATTGACCCCTTGGACCCTTATTAAGAGCCCAGTGCGTGGGTGCTGGTCCACATGGCAGATGATTCACTGCTCTCAAATTACCGCTAGTGTCAACATTGTCCACTTCCTGAATGAGCCATTTATTAATTCCAGGCAATCCTGGCTCGTTTCTGTGCTGAACAAGTTCCAACATCCACCAGACATGCACACAGAGAGAACACAGAACTGAGAAGAACATGAGAGAGAACAAAGAGGACAGAACAAGAATGAAGTACCTTCTGGGTGCACCGTCCTCATGAGGCTGGATGACCACCACCTTGACCGTGACGGAAGTGCGCAGCAGGTCGATCATCTGCTCATGAGTGAGCGTCGCCACGGCCACCTTGCAGATCTCCACCAGCCGGCTGCCCTGCCGCAGACCCGCTTTCCAGGCGAAGCCGAAGGCCTCCACGTCGGCCACTATACCCTCAAAGTTCACATGGAAGCCCAGCTGCCCCAGGCTGTTCCGCCGCAACGTCATCTCCACCGTCTCGCAGCCTCTTGTGACGATCTGACCACACACACACACACACACACACACACACACACACACACACAAAAACAGAGGAGTAAGAACACACAGAAGACCAACAGCTCCAGAGGGACAGAGGAAAAGGAAACAAGGTGAGGGATCAAGTCTTTGAACAAGGAGGTCATGTGGAGTCAAGAAAGAGTTTCCTATATAAGGAAGCGGAGCTCTTCACATCTGCCTGTGGTGTTGGTGGAAGGAAGTATAGATACACAAGAGCATCTCAAAAAGGCCACAAGAGATGGAGAGCCAAAAACAGAACGCCCAGCAACATCCGAATCCAAACACAGTCGGAAGCACGAGTTTATGTTTCCTTAATCCAAAGAGCCCCACATATGGAAACCAACGAGAGGGCAAACAGCAGAGTCAACAGAGCTGCAGACAGAGGAGAGGAGACTGTGGAGGAGACGCTCATTACTCAGATCATTACAGCCTTGCTGCTCACAACGTACAGCTCTCAGATCAATGAGCACAGATAATGTACAACTAATGGGGCCTTTATGGCAATAAGCTTCACTTTCTAACGCAAAACATGTGCAATCAATTTTCATGTAATACATTCAGCTTTCAAAAACATCAGCTCAGCTTCGTGTGTGACAGAAACATTTAAACAATTATCTGAGCAGTAATGCTTTACTACTAGGGGGCAGTCGTGGGCTGGAGGTTAGGGAACCAGCCTTGTGACCGGAAGGTCGCCGTTTTGATCCCCTGAGCCGACAGTACGTGACTGAAGTGCCCTTGAGCAAGACACCTAACCCCTAACTGCTCCCTGTGCGCTGTGGATAGGGCTGCCCAGCGCTCCGGGCAAGTGTGCTCACTGTCCCCTAGTGTGTGTTCGCTAGTGTGTATGTGGTGTCTCACTGCACGGATGGGTTAAATGCGGAGGCCTCTGTGTGCAAGTACAGTTCAAAAATTAGAACTAAGCTAAGCCTACTGGTGCACAAACTTTTTGTCTAGGGGGCCCGAAGTGCAAAGAAAAACAGTATACAAATAAAGAAGGTAGGGAGATTTCAATTCAAGATTTCAAAAATGATGTTTAACACTACATTTTGTTAATAAAATCTTTAGAAAAATACAATTTTAAAGGAAAATAAGAATTTCATAATAAGATAATCCTTTATTATTCCCACAGAGGGGAAATTCTCAGTTATTAAATATAGTATAAAATATGTATCTCACTGGGTGAGAGGATCAAGTTTCTGGCGGGTGAAAGCAAATGTCCTCTGTGCCAGTGAACAACACTCTGGGCAGCCCTGAACTAAACAGAAAACTAAATTCGCCTGACAAACACCTTGGATGTGATAGCAACCGCTGAGCAACCACCTAAAATATCATAGCAACCACCCAAAAATAATTAGCAACAACTTAAATAATTAGGAACCAACTAACAACTGTCTTAGCAACCAGCCGGAATACCACAACAACTGCATAGTGGCACTGCAACTGCAACAACTACCTCAGACACCTTATCGACCACCTAGCAAGTGCCTGAGGTACCATAACACCAACCTACCAACACCCTAGCAACTACCTCAGGCGCTTGCTAGGTGGTCGATAAGGTGTCTAAGTTAGTTGTTGCAGTTGCAACCACCTCAATCTGCTGTTCCTCCTGGAAGCACCTGAGACACCACAGCAGCAACCTACCAACACCTTACCAACCACCAGGAACTGCCAGCAGCTGCTGTTTAAACAACCAAACAACAAAAACAACCCAAACTGCAAAAACACACACTACCTTCAACCATTATGTACCATACAAACCCAATTATGTTAAAAGCAGTTTACAAAGCCAAATATTACAGTAACCCACATCTAAACAATCCCCCCGATTATGCCACATTAATTATTTATTTTAGCAGCACTGATGAACTCATCTGATTCAGTTCCAGACGTGAACGTATTTATGAAATCAGACATTAGTCCAGTGTAAATGAGTGCGACTGTGTAATTTCCAATATAAAATGATAAATTCTGCCCCTCAAATTGCAGAGAACGGCTAAGCTGCGTTTGAACTGATTCTCAAGGCCAGGCCAGGAGGAGCATGGGAGTCTGAAGGTGTGGGAACTGGGAGCAGGTCAGTAATTAGCTCAGTGGAGGTTTGATCCCCCTTAAACCCTTTACTCTAATGGACTGAGACCGTCAGAGAGGGTCAAGTCACTGTACACTGCACACTGCACACTCATAGATACGAAGGAAACTAATGAAACTAATCAGAGGGAATCAAACGTTATCATAACCCGTACTAAGACAGGCCTTCATGAACTGTAAAGCTGCACAGACAGATTAACAGCAGCTTAACACCAGCTGATTTACATATATATTGGATCTGAACCAAAGAACTTGAACTGGCTACATGAATGAATACAGAACTGCATTTGAAACAGCGGGAAGACTGAATGAATAGTTATGACTTCCTGATCTTCGGCCATAGGGTGACTTAGCGTGGCTGACCATGAGACCTGTCCATTTTTGTCACTGGCCTTACCATCTTCATCATTGGTCCATCCACTTCTAGCACTGGCCTAACCATCTTCATCACTGACCTCTCTGTTTTTATTATTGATCTATTCATTTTTACCTTTGCTTCATATAAAATGACTGCTAAAGTTTATTATTGAAATCATGTGAATAAATAAACTGACACACAAACTAAAATGCACTTGTTGAATATATGACAGGTTTGAACTTTCATTGTTGACAGTGATCAATTAAAACCTCACTTTAATCAGTAACCGTGACGGTGAGGGGACTGTGACGGCTACAAAACACACAGAAGAAGAACATGCTTACGACTAACTGGCCACTGGGCTTTTCGGTAACACTTTCTATGAATGTCACCTTTGTAAGCATCTATAAACACATTCATAACATGTTATAATGCATTCATAAGGCATTATAAACATAGCTATAAATATTTATAAAAATGCATTATATGTTATAGCCATGTTTATTGTGCATTATGAATTGTTAACATAATACATTATAAGTACTGTTCATAACAAATTATAAGAGCTCATAAGTCGTATTTGTCCGCTCTAAGTAAAGTGAAGCGTACTGTACTAAAGCCTCCTCCAGTGTTCAGAGTGAGGCTTCAAGTTGAAGTATTTACTGAAGGATTTACTGAAACACTAAAACATTCACAGTAAAGCACATTACAGGCTTCAAATGTCAGAGTTTAAACTAGAGCTGCCATCAGTGTTTTACCCAATGTGGGAAAGGTAATGTTCACCACCGTTAGCTTGGTATTTGTCTTTACGCTCTCCAAGCTGGGACTGACTTCTTTGGCACTGACATTATAACATGTTATTAACACTATTTATAATGCATTATATTAACAATTCATAATGTACAATAAACATGGCTATAAAGTGTAATTCAGTGTAATTCTTTTTTATAAATATTTATAACCATGTTTATAATGCCTTATGAATACATTATAACATGTTATAAATGTGTTTATAGATGCTTACAAAGGTGACATTCATAGAAAGTGTTACCGGCTTTTCTTCTTCTATTCAGCAATCACATCATCTACAGCTGTTTAAAAGTGAGCGGAGAGGGTCAACACATATATAAAAATATGTTTTCAAAACTAGTACTCTCAGAGATAAAGGTCCTAAACTGTCACTGGGGTGGAACCCTCAAGGCTCCATCTCAGTACCTTTAGTCAGGGAACATAACTGAACCATAATCCACTGAATGATATGTTCTAAGCTGTACTGACTCCACACACCCCGTCTCGTCTCCAGGCTTTTATTTTACTGTTCTGTTTAAAACATTCGGTTATGAAAAGGTACAAATACGAACTTTTCACCTGGAGAAACTTATTTAAGGTTCACAATCAGACCTTAAAACCACTGTTGGAGCTTTGAGGGAACATTTACACTGTTTGTACCTTGATGAACCAGAACTGTACCTGCACAGAACCTTTATTACTAACAGTGTACTTTGCAAAAGTCTGCAGCAGAGTTTGATTGCTGGATCATCCGGTCAGCCTACAAGAGTTGAGGTCTCTCACTGAGTCACAGACTGACTGACTGATATCCACTGTTTAAATGCACATGTACAAATGACCCACCCATCTTAGAGATGGAACTAAAACTTAACCTAATGAATTAATGTACGTTTACAGTCATAAAACTGTTTGTGCATGAAGCTAAAGACTGAAACGAAAACTTGGCCTCACTGCAGAACCTGCTGAAGGATTGCTTTAACTTATTTCAAGACTTTTTACATGTTTTTAGTGTGTCTTATTCCATTGGGAGATTTACTTGTTTTGGCAGCTTTACTTCTCAAAATAAGCAAAATTGTCTGCATTATTTCTTGAAAATAAAATGACACTTTCACAAGAAAGAATTACTTAAGTAAAATTAGGCTGCATAACCTTATAATATTCCTACAACAACCTCATATCGAGAAATATTAGATATATTGACTACATTTTAGACGTTTTCACTTGCTAAAATATCATTTTTTAACAGTGTAAGTATCTAAAGACGGATAACGTCCTGAAGAAGGTTTTAAAGGTGATGTTGAGAGCGAGTGTCCTAATGTGAGCAGATCTGAGTTGGTAACAGCTTCTGGGCTCAGTGACAGAATCTCACACAGCACAGACCACGCCGTGTCCCACCATCACAGACAGGAGAAAATCGAGTCAGAGGGTCTGATTAGCATAGTTAATGAGAGCATCCATCCCAACACTGATCCTCACTGGCTCATCTCACATGCTAATGTATCCTGTCCTTCTGGAGAGCAGCTGGACGTTACACAGGCGCAGGACGTCATTTTGTCTTATCACATTATCTTCCTCCGCTGCCCGAACAGACGCAGCCTGGAGGGTCCCTAAGGTGAGGTGGGCTCGAGTCTGTCCGTCACAAAGCACCACACGTGCCAAGGAAGCGTACGGCTGGGAGAAACAAGGACAGCCTCAGCTTGAGCTCTGACCTCCAGCATGCTGAGTTTGGAGGCCTGCTGAGAGAACA